ACTACTACTACTACTCTCTCTCTCTCTCTCTCTCTCTCTCTCTCTCTCTCTCTCTCTCTCTCTCCTGGATTTGAATTTCTTTTGAGGAAAAATGCTCTCTCTCACTCTCTTTCGTGTATTTGAATTTTTTTGGGGAAAAATGCTCGCTCTCTCTCACTCTCAGACTCTCTTTCTCTCTCTGACATCCTTGTGTTGCGCAGGCATCTCTCTGCACCTGGCCATCCCCAACTCCTTCATCCCCCACTTCGCCTCCAACCGATCAGCTGCTCTCTCCTTCGTCTCCGCGCACCTCCTCCCTTTCCTCCCACGAACCCCCATCCACTCTCTCTCTCTTGGCGCCGACCCCCTCTCCTCCGACCTCGCCCCTTTCCTCCTCCCGGCGCTTTACAACCTCCAGGCAGCTCTCTCCCACACCTCTCTCACACACATCAAAGTCTCAACCACCCTCTCCTTCTCTCACATATCCTCCCCCTTCCCCCCCTCCTCCGCCAAGTTCCACAAATCCATCTCCGAAATCCAGCCCCTCCTCGACTTTCTCTCTCTGAATGGTGCCCCCCTCTTCGTCAACCTCTACCCTTTCTCTCTCTACCTCGACGACCCCACCATTCCTCTGGGCTTCGCCCTCTTCCGCGAGGAGCCCTTCAGCTATAGGAGCGACCCGATAACTGGCATTCGATACCGCAATCTCTTTGATGCTATGGTGGATGCATTTGGGTGCGCAATGGTGAAGGCAGGACAGGATTCGATCCCGATTGCCGTGGCTGAGACCGGGTGGCCTACACAAGGGGCAAATAGTGATGCCAAAGCGGAGGCGAGCCTGAGGAATGCCGGGTTTTATAACAAAGGGCTCCTGAGGAGCATGAGAGAGAAAGGGAGGAGGAAGGTGAAGGTGGAGGAGGCCTACATTTTCTCTCTCTTCGACGAGAACATGAGGCCGGGGCCGGAGATGGTGAGCCATTGGGGGTGGCTGTACCCGAACATGACCATGAAGTACGACTTGGACTTCTTTGCTAGCGGTGCCTGTCGGCTTCGCCGAGGGGCATTTTGGTCTTTTTCCATCGTCGGCCTCCTCTTGGTGGTGGCGGTGGCGGTGGCGGTGGTGGTTTTGAACGGTTAGTAGCGTGAGGCGTTACCATTATCACTATGAGGTAAGAACACGGAGGGGCATTTCGGACTTTTGGCTGCACCCCAACTCGTGGTGCAGGGGATGGGATCTTGGGGGCATTTTTTTGGTCATTTGAACAAAAATTTCCATCCTGTATACCCACCGGTATACAACAAACACTCAAAGTCGAGCAGGGGTATTTTTGTGATTTTTCCTTTGTTCGTTCGTGATTCTGAAACTTTCGGAAATAGAGTATTTTGGTCATTTTGTAACTCCTGATTCAGTTTTTCTCTCATCAAGTACCTAATTTCATTACAGCCCTTCTATTCTACCATCACACTCACTATAATTTGTTGGTACTTCTAAAAGAGATTTGATTTTCTCAGCTTCCAAACAAAACCACTGAAAGAGAGAGAGATTTCATTTTGTGAGCTTCCAAAACCATTGAGAGAGAGTCAATTTATGAAAGGAAAATGGTTTGATAGGGCTGCAACCCCATCAAAACAACTAAACCCCTCACCTCACCACTCATCAAAAATTGCAATTCAAGCATTGGAAAACCTTTACATCCATCGTCTCAGCCTGAACATTATAGTTGTAAAAAAAATTAGAATTTCAAGCTCTAACTTGCTCTAAAAATAAGTGTTGGTAAGATTTGTAACACTTTTTTAGTTTCAAATTTTATTGTTGGTGTTCAAAATTGATTTTAAAACCACAGTAGAGATTTCTATTGCTGAAAGTGCTTTTCGGATGAAGATTTGAAGCGAAGCTTTATTTTGTTTTCATAAAACCTAGACCTTATAGCAGCTTCATCCTTTATGAAAATCAAATACACTGCACCATTGAGAAGAGGACGAAATAAAAAGATTGTTTTCCAGGTACTTGTAGCAAGAGGCCACTTTGAGAGCCTAGAGCAAAATTCTTGCAAGAAAAAGGGTTTAGATCCAAGATTTCCCGGCTAAAATGTCCGAATATTATCTATAGGAAATAACAAAAAATTTATGACGAATATTGACTCTGCTAAACAAAGGATACATTAAGCTTTGGAAACCCTAGGACTGGTCGCTGCTCATTCTAATGGCCATTTTAACATCATCTTTGAGAGAGTCTGAGCCTTCAGAGATCAAGAGGGTCCCTTCTCTCGATATTTAGTGCAACATGCGCCATCTGATTATATTATACGTACAGTGCAAATCTCAAAGCCCGTTTCCACCACAGAAAATGGCCCTCATTCTATTGAGATCCCGTTCTATTGAGCTTAATGCTGTGACCCAAGAGACCCCAGCCTTTCAGTCCGACATTTTCATAAGGCTGAATACAAAACCATTATTGATCGTCATCGCTTTCTATAAGTCACTTCTGGTACTTATGAATAAAATCTCTTTGTAAATGATTTTTTTCATCTGTTTACAAAAAATAAGTGTAGAGGCACAAGTCCAGCTTACAAATTTATGTGTCCACCCTTCAACTCCCCAGCCATCCTTTGCTTAGCTTTTATATATATATATATATATATATATATATATATATATATATAGAGAGAGAGAGAGAGAGAGAGAGAGAGAGAGAG